ACTTGGTGGTGGTAGCAACGTCTATCTTGGTCCTCACTGGGGGCTCCAATGTAACCGTGCTTGTGTTGGCCGATAGTGGAGTAGGTGTCCTACTGGCCAAATAATCACAAACAGCTGAGGGGGGTGAGGCTGATGACGTTTATTGTATTATAGGTGCGAATGTACGCACTTCATTTCAATCTCAAATATGAATAAATCCTTTCACAAATCCAAATTCTCACATGATAAGAAATCGGCAATAAATCTCGCTGAGTCTATGGTGTTTCCTTGAGGTAACAAATAGCAACTGATCTTTTAAATTCAACAATAAACATTGCTGTAGCTATGGCCAGCTTGGCCTATCAACAAGACAATAGACTGGGCCGGGGCAAAGAGTGCTGTAAGTCAAAAGCATGCAGTGTGACAATTAGTGGAAGTTAGACTGAGGGTAAGCTTACTTAATGTTACAGAGCTATGGAATGAATGTTTAAGGTATAAAATACTAAGGTATAAAACATAACTAATATTATAACTAATAATATATTCTTATAATATAAATATCGTAAGAAACTAATTAGTTAAAATGGTAACAAGGCCATATAACCTTACTACTTACTAATAAATCTTAATTAAAAGTATGTACATAAATGATCCTGCCACACACTGGCAAATGGCAAATGACACTGCAAACTGAATACTCAGTGATAAACACGAAAGCCCAGCAGATAAGGGTACACTGACTATTCAACTCTTATATGAGGCGCATGTGGCATTCCAGAGCTTGGCGATGCTCACAACAAAGCACCTCATTAAAACACACCATAGTCCAGTCTACCTCTCGAGAACACCCGGACTCTTATATAATGAAGCTCTGACCTCGTGAGGGGCAAGTGCACATGCAAGTTCAACATTGGAGGTCTGACATCGACTCCTCACCTGAGGTGAATCAGTGAGTTATTATTTAACGTCACATCGCCAATCTTTCAGCCACATCGTGACGACCACATCTAAACTCCTCATCTGAGGTGAGTCAGTGAGTTATTATTTAACGTCACATCGCCAATCTTTCAGCCACATCGTGACGACCTCATCTAAGGGTAAATTCTATAAGATAATCGATATTATTAAATATGGTTTGTTTTTTTTAACAAAAATTGCCCCATAAAAGTATTTTCACTTTAATACAATACAGACTTTCAAACCAGCGACTACCAGTTGAGCTTGGTCGGTGGCACCAAATATACACAAAGAAAAACGTTCAGCACACCCAAATGTGTTTCATTATTGTTTGGTCCCAATATTTATAACAGTCAGGAAAGATATAATTACGGGAAGTATTTTGTTTTCTCGAGTGGATGTAATCAGTCGTGCGTGACGAAATCTTTCGTGCCATGCATGGTATGCCCGTGCAGCATGCTACCCTCGAGTATCTCTAAAAGCAGTATATCCAAACGTTAAAGTTGCTTTCTTAAGCTCGGTTTTAAACAGTTACTCCATGACATTGTGTGACCATGGCACGAAGGCGATTATCAAACGCCACAAGATAGCAAATATTCGGCATGCATAACGCAGGCATGTCTTGTAATGCCATCGATCGGAATTTGGGGTATTATCACACTGCCGTAAGCCGTTTGGTCGAGAAACATCTTCAGACCGGTAATGTGACAGAACTTTGCCCGACAGAACTGGAATCTGTGAACTTGGAGACGGACCCATTGGTCAGACGAAAGTCGCTTTCTGCTCCACGTTACTGATGGAAGAACGAGGGTTTGGAGGCACCGGAACCCGGCCTACACCCCCAGGAACATTAAACCGACTGTTACATACGGCGGGGGCTCGGTAATGGTTTGGGGGTGTATCTCTCATCATTGCAGGTTGGATTTGGTCACCATAAGGGGAAACTTAACTGGGTCTCAGTACATCCGGGACGTTTTGAGGCCACTTGTCGTTCCTCATTTTGACAACCACACCCTTGCTACTAGACCTCAGTACATGGATAACAATGCCAGGCCTCATCGTTCTCATGCAGTCGTGGTTTAAACGAGAGCCAACGCAATAACGACTCTACCTTGGCCAGCAATGAGCCCAGATTTGAACCCCCTTGAACATGTTTGGGATATTCTGGGGCAGCGCATACAGGCACGAGACCCCCCTGTACAAGATTTACGCCAATTGGAAGCAGCATGGCATCAGGAGTGGTTGTTGACCCATCAACAGATCCAACGTCTGACTGGAGGCATGAGACGTAGGGTGGTATGCGTCATCCGGGCACTTTGCCGTTATACCCCTACTGATCTGTTTCACGTGTCATGTCAAGTAGAGAGTTTAAGGAACATTTTTACATGAAACATCAAACGTAACTCGTTTACGTAATCATGCAGCTCCATACTTTTTAAGGTATTGTCTAAAGTCAAAAACAGTACCTGTGTAACCATGATGTTTTTGTCAGTAAATTTCAATCACCACTCACCAATATCTTCTTTATTTGTTGTCAAATGTTTGTTCTATCAGATGACATTGGTATCGCCCAGCTCCAGTGATCAGTCATCCCGTGCCATGATTTTTGCCATTGTCACGGTTCAGAAATAGGGGTGTGCTTAACTTTTTTCTTTGTGTATACGTCTGTTAGAGAGAAAATGTTTCTTTTGCTAATATAATGCTATTAGAGACGAGTATCACTATTTATTTGTTTATGAATACTTTGGAGATGTAAAAATGAAACTATTGCCATTATAATGCTTAAGAGGCCTTCTATGTTCAATATGATAAATTTATTTAAGCAAAAAGCCATTATATTAAGGAAACTTTCTAGATTTTTCTGCCAAATAAGTGAGTGAATAAATTTCTGTTCTGTCACAGAGGTTTGGTGATCCAACATGAACAGAAGGCAAACATATATGTGGGGCAGCAAATATGACACGAGGTTGAGTGTCAATTCATGTTTTATTCCATCTCAACGTAGACAATAAGGAAAAACCTACAACATACAAATATCACAAGCTCATTAGGTTACAATCACTGAGCAACAGAAGGAAAATATATTTCTATGTTAAGTTACAACAGCACACTATACACCCACACTTGACGTTTGACATTGTATAAAAGCACAAGTTCATGTATTGTATTTGATTGTATTTGAACATAAATGAGTGAGTATGGTTTTATCCCGCTTTTAGCAATATTCCAGCAATATCACGGTGGGGGACACCAGAAATGGGCTTCGCACATTGTACCCATGTCGGGAATCGAACGTCTAATTCACTTTGTCTGGGTTGTCTTACCATGCATGAATGGTTTCTCCATGGCTCAGTGTAATCCGTGTAGTCACAAACCCGTATAATCTGTTTAGGAGTGGGGCGGTCGGGTAGCCTAGTGGTTAAAACGTTCGCTCGTCACGCCGAAGACCCGGGTTCGATACCCGACATGGGTACAATGTGTGAAGCCCATTTCTGGTGTCCCCCGCCGTGATATTGCTGTAATATTGCTAAAAGCGGCGTAAAACCATACTCACTCTGTTTGGGAGAGACTGTCAATGATAATAGGGGTGTTTGGGTAGAGACAACTTGAGATTAAGATTGATAGCAGCGTATTTATTCAAATTCTTTGTAATGGGATAAGATTAATTCAAGGTTTGTTTTCGAAATGTTAATGAAATAACATAGTTTAACAATTACGGTACATTTGTACATAAAAAAGATAAAAGTCAGCGGAGCATGATACATTAAAACACATGTACAAACGCCACCCAAACGTTAAAATCAAGAATAATTCTTGGTAAAATATTACAATTAACATAATCACGGCACCTGGAATCTGGGAGGAAAGTGCTGCATGTCGTTGATACCTAACGCCATTCTGAAACCCACAGACAAGGTGATTCAAAGATCCTGGTACATTGGTGTATTCTTCCTGCAGTGTTTTACTGTACGATAAACAACTCACACTCGTCCTTATTTCTGATATGAGATATCCACATAATGTAGGCATACAGTCTCTTTAAGGATGTTAGTAAAAGGTACATGCTTTAAAAATATTTACCTGTATTTAAATAGTGATGACTCCATGGATACAATCCGACCTCGGCAATGTCCATTTTAAGAACAGGGGGCTAAGTTTGGTAGTTCCCGGATATTTTCAATGTTCACGGCTATTATATATAATTGTCTCCCAATTCCGATTGCGGGATCGGGTGGTCAGACTCGCTGACTTCGTTGAAGCATGTCATCAATCCCAAGTGCGTGGATCGATGCTCATGATATCATTCACTGGATTGTCTGGTCCAGACTCGATTATTTACAGACCGCCGTCATATAGCTGGACTATTGCTGAGTGCGGCGTTAAACAACAAACCAAACCAAAACCAAAACCATTTCCGATTGCCATATCTCGCCCACTTCCGGATGCGGTCGTTCGGCCGTGGCGTTTTTCTGTGTTGCCAAGCTACATTTATTGGGGCACAACTCACAAGACACTTCTCCCTCAAAGATGACGACGACGTTCAGTCTACGACGTCATCGCGTTGCGATGCTAGAATCTCAAGAAATGACGTCATGATAGAACAACGTTTTATCGTAAAATAAACCAGCTTCGTTCTTCATTGTACTTTGCGATTTATCGCGTAACTATCTTATATGAAGCTATAAATGACATACGTTCCCCCACGCCTTGAATCGATGCTTAACCCGTGTTTTCCTACATTTCCTACAAGTTTCTACATTTGCTCTAATGTGAGACGTTAGTGTGCGACGAGATACATTTCTAAGTAGTGCGGGTATTCAAAGAGTATTTCTCTGTAACGCAGTGTACATGTATTATGTCAGTTTGTAAAATTTTCTTCATGTTGTTATCAATTTGTGTGCGTGCGTGCGTGCGTGCGTGCGTGCGTGCGTGCGTGATTCAAGTGTGTGATCCATATATATGATACATTTTTCTTCTGTTTTGCTGTAGGTCTTGTGTTTTCAACGGGCGCCACCTGGCGGGAACATAGAAAGTTTAGTATTACCACTCTTAGATAATTCGGAATGAGCAAAACCATTCTCGAGGATGCAATACAGGAAGAGTTATCGTTCTTTCTTCAGGCCATCCACGAATGTGTCCACACGGACTTCAATTGTAACCGCGTTCTCAACAACGCTGTAGCGAACATCATCAGTTCTGTGGTTTCCGGAAAACGGTTTGAATACACCGATCCTTTGTTTGTCAAGTTTATGAAATGCCTGGACGAGAACATCAGAAACATTGGCACAGCCAATGTCCTCAACGTTTTGCCCATTGTTCGCTATTTACCGGGGGACTTATTCAAATTTAAGCAAACTCTTCGAAATATATCTATGATTGATAAAGAAATAATTCGTCCGTTTATTGAAGACAACAGGAACAACTACGATGACAGTAACGTCACCAACTTCACCTCTGCTTATATCAAGGCCATACAACAGCGCCGTCAGGAAGGTCAAAACACGAATATGAGTGGTAAGGTTTCATAAATCATTGAACATACTAGAAAATGCAGAGAACATCAATGCAACAGTAACAAAATGTTGTTAATTTGAGTATCGCCAGTTTGAATTGAGGGGGAACTAACCATCCGTAATCCAGAGTTTCCGAAGAGTTATGGACCCGTGGAGATCCGTGTAGAATAGGTCTTCAGGATCCAATGCTAGCTGTAAAAGGCGACTATGCTTGTCGTAAGTGGCGAATAACGGGATCGGGTGGTCAGACTTGCTGACTTGGTTGATGCATGTCATCGTATCATTGTGTAGTTCAGACTCGATTATTTACAGACCGCTGTCATATAGCTGGAATATTGCTGAGTGCGGCGTTTAACAAATAAATATATAAACAAACAAACAGAAGATTTATGTTTTTTCTCAAACAAACAGTGGTCTTAATGGCGTCTTTTGTCTGAGAAACTGCGCCAGTTTATACAGTAAGAGGACACGTCACCCGAAACCATCGACGGTGTTCATGACTTCACAGCCCGTGAATGTAACCAATATGATCTCGGCAATTTATATTTGCCTTTCTCTATCCAAGTAATCTGAATACATCCTTGCTTGTCAAGTGGCCAGCAGGTGAATGTCTATTTACTTAGCTTGAACATTTTAATAACCGACCACTCAAAATAGTCAAGATAATTAAAATACCCTCAACACATTTAAAGCGACTTTAAGGAGAGAATGCAGAGGTTAAAGAAACACTGACTGGCGACTGGTCTTACATGTATTTGTAGAATTCCTATTTTCTTTGATTATATGTTGTAGATGGGAATCTAGAGACATGCCTTAGAGACCTGTTCATTGCCGGCTCTGAAACCACAGCTACTGTCCTCCGATGGGGTCTGGTGTATTTCCTCAATTATCCGGATGTACAAGAAAAGTGTTTCCAGGAGATCCTAGAAAACGTCGGGCAAAGCAGACGACCCTCCATGAAGGACAAGACCAGCTTACCGTACGTCGAGGCAACGGTTACCGAGATACTGAGGTGTGCCGACATCATACCAAGCAGTCTGCCTCACTCTGTACCCCATGACGTAGAGTTCCGGGGATACACCTTCCCTGAAGGAATCACCGTATTACCTATGTTGAGCTCTGCCTTACATGACCCGGATCTCTGGGGCGATCCTAGGAACTTCCGGCCAGACAGATTTCTGGACACTGAAGGGAAGTTTCAGAAGATGAATGAGCATATTCCGTTCTCCCTCGGTAAGCATTTACACACGCAACCCAACTCAGGTTTCAGATCTAGCATGAAATTAGGCTGAAAGATCACATGAAATAATACTGTTTTTAATAGGGGACTGAATTCACGATCCCTTCTCTGTCGGTAAACGTATTCGAGTATACGATGTGTCTCTGTCGGTATAAGGACGTGTCTATACCATTCCTGTCTCTGTCAGCATAATGATCTGTATATACGATCTCTGTCTCTGTCGGTATTATGATCTGTATTTATTATATGATCCCTGTCTCTGTCGGCATAAGGATCTGTGTATCCGATCCCTGTCTCTGTCGGCGTAATGATCTGTATTTATTATATGATCCCTGTCTCTGTCGGCGTAATGATCTGTATTTATTATATGATCCCTGTCTCTGTCGGCGTAAGGATCTGTGTATCCGATCCCTGTCTCTGTCGGCGTAATGATCTGTATATATTATATGATCCCTGTCTCTGTCGGCATAAGCATCTGTATTTATTATATGATCCCTGTCTCTGTCGGCGTAAGGATCTGTTTATACGATCCCTGTCTCTGTCAGTATTAGGATCTGTTTATACAGCTCTTCATCTGTCGGTATAAGTATCGGCACATACGATACCTGTTTTTGTCAGTATAATGGCCTGTTTATAGTCTTTCTGTATATAATATTTCCTAATTATCCAGACCCCAGCTTAATGTTCTCTCTGTGTTATTTTCAGGTCACCGAGCATGCCTTGGCGAGGCCTTGGCACGGATGGAACTCTTCCTCTTTACCACCAGCATGATACAGGAGTTCGAATTCCGGCCTGTAGACGGGGTGAGCCCATCTCTACAGGGACTGCCCGGCATCGTCTACCGCCCGCAGCAGTTCAACATGAAGGCAATACCAAGGGCAAAATAACTACTCATTGGTCTTGTAATCTCCATGTCGACCGCCTCCGTGGTCTAGTGGTAGAGCGTCTGCCCGGAGAGCGGAAGGTCCGGGTTCGATCCCCGGCCGCGTCATACCAAAGACGTTAAAAGATGGTACTTGTTGTTACCCTGTCTGGCGCTCGGCATTAAGGGGCTAAAACAAGGACTGGTCGGCTCGGAGTCAGTATACTGTGTCAGAGTGGGGTATTCATGTTAAACTTCGGCATGGTATCTCAGTGGGCTAGCACTATAAATCGGCATCAGACGGTCTAGTGCAAGAGCCACACACACACACACGTGCATGCACGTCGCGATATAAGTGCAATACTCTTGGACGCGACGTTAAACCCCATTTCACCTCACCTCGCCTGTAATCTCCATATAACCATAAAAAGTTCCATGAGTAACGTTCCACGACTTGCTTATACATCAAATACTTGCAACTGCGGTCGGGTAGCCTAGTGGTTAAAGCGTTCGCTCGTCACGCCGAAGACCCGGGTTCGATTCCCGACATGGATACAATATGTGAAGCCCATTTCTGGTGTCCCCCGTCGTGATATTGCTGGAATATTGCTAAAGACGGCGTAAAACCATACTCACTCACTCACTCACTCACTGAACCAGACCTGTCTTTACAGGGCGTGATATAGAGCATTACTGACTGCAGCGTTAAACAAACAACGAAACAAACAAAGAATCAACACCACTTCATGTGACATATGTTTGACACATCTGAATCAAAACATATCGAGGCTAATATTTTGCCAGCTGATAACTGTCAATTAAATTCATTCCTTTAGTTCTGTATCTTTAATCAAGTTATACACCAGTCCCTTATATGCTATATGTAACTCAGAATAAACTATTTATTCAATGTTGTACTTTTCTGTTCAAGCTAAATTGACGTTAGGTTAAACAAATGGTCTTCCAACAAATCATTGTCACTAAAATTAATATAGTCTAATATACGTGTCTAAAGGAGACAGGGGCGGTCGGGTAGCCTAGTGGTTAAAGCGTTCGAATCCCGACATGGGAACAATGTGTGAAGCCCATTTCTGGTGTCCCCCGCCGTGATATTGCTGGAATTGCTAAAAGCGGCGTAAAACCAAACTCACTCACTCACTAAAGGAGACGCTATCTCGTTCTTCTTACCAAATTATTTTATGCCTATATATAGCATGAAAAAATGCAAGACGTGAACCCACGTGTATACGGAAAGAAATCATTTGTTGTCAAAAAATATTTATGTATTAACGTTTTTTCTGTAAATCCTTGAAAATGAACTGAACTTGGATGAAAATTATTCACATGAATTCACATTATTCACGAAAAGGTAGGAGCTGCATTAGTAAGGCCAAATTTTCCCTTCAAGGAGGTCAATGGTCCATTGTCAAAGACTCTCAGACACACTCTGTGACCTGAGAATGAATGAGTGAGTTTGCGGAAATCAAACTATTGATGTATAATACTTTGCCTGTCCCAATATTTATCACGTAAGGGTTAGTTGCAAGTTAAGGCATGATGGTATGGTTTGTTTGTTGTTTAACGTCGCAATCAGGAGGTCCAGCTATGTGACGGCGCTCTGTAAATAATCGAGTCTGGACCAGACACTCCAGTGATTGACGTTTTGAGCATCGATCCACGCAATTGGGATACGACGACATGCATCAACCAAGACTGCGAGCCTGACCACCCGATCCCGTTATTCGCCTCTTATGACATGCATAGTCACCTTTTACGTCAAGAATGGGTTGCTGAAGACCTGAAGTACAATTTGGCCGCTTGTACTTGTCCGGACTTTTGCCGATTTTATTGTACTTGCCCACTGAGATACCATGCCGCTGTTTATTCCGAGCGCAAGAAATACTACCTTTTAGAGTTTCCCTATATGTCTCAGTTGTCAATAGTGAATTTGGCATGGTAGATAATATTGGCATTGGGCACAATAGAAACTATGGATAAACACTCTTCTTTTTTTCAGTTAGCCAGTTAGAATGAAAACACTACCTATCTCAGATACAGCACACTGCTGTTATACGGATCTTCTGCGATCAGTTCAGTTTAAAATAGTTTTGGTGAAAAACAAATCACTTGACATCCATACAACTTCCTAACGAAACAACTTATCAGAGAACCTACTTTAAGCACATTATTTACTTCTCTTTGTGTTTCAGTAATACATTCTGAGGAAACTGGCACACATGTTACTGATGACACACACAAACTTATACACGATCAGATATAGTCTGATAACACAAGTTAGGTTTTGGAAATACAAACAATGAAACAACCTCCAACAAAAAATGTCATGACTGTCAGCAGCTTAACAATAGACGTCCGCGGTCCCATTACATTACTTCACGTGTGTTTTTTTTTCAGGTGAACAGTTTACTTGCCTTTGCGTGTGTTTGTGCTGGTATCCACCGTCTGAGAAGGATACGCTCACCTTTTCGCAAACCCCTGGTATCATGACTATTTGATAGTGATTGATAAACACATGCTAATGCATAGTCAAATTAAAAACCCGTACGAAATTGACATCCGGTTCGCAAACAACATGGCAACTCCCGTGCCGAATTCGTTCGATTGCAGGATTTGCAGAGCAAGTATAACATTAACTAGGCGTAGAAAGATAAATCCTTTCATGTTTTAAATCAAGATGCCCAAGCGATTTGATGCACTTTGCAAGGTAAACCCCGTTTTATTGCAATATGTATATTTATTATCGATGAAATCGTCTTGAGTGGGTACATGCACATGAATCACATGAGCTGGATTCTGAACGGCCAGTAGTGTGGTAAATTGAAGGGACGTAACTCGTAACAGCCACTGGTGAAGCGACGATCAGAAATGTTAGTTATTTAGTGGGACCTTTTAAAGTCAGTTAACTCCCTTGCCTCAGGAAAATGGTTTCACGGGACATGGCCTATGAAACAGTTTCCTACCAACTGATTGACAATTATTTCATGCCAGACGTGTTATTTGACTAGTACATGTGAGCCCCAGTGAAGATCTTGGTTAGAATTGGTCTTCAGTAACCCATGCTTGTCGTAAGAGTAGACTAAAGGGATCGGGTGGTCAGGCTCGCTGACTTGGTTGATGCATGTCATTGTGTCTAAATTCCGTTGATCGATGCTCACGATGGCAATTACTGGATTGTCTGGTCCAGACTCGAATATTTACAAACCGCCGTCATATAGCTAGAAGATTGCTGAGTGCGGCGTTAAACAACATTGTTGTCAGGTGTTTGTCATAAATAGAATAGATAAGTATCGGTACTTCGCAGTTAAGAGCAGATGGCACCCTTTTAGATATACACTAGACTGTGCTGGCATGTGTTTGAGGAGGAGAAATAATGACACAGAGGTCTTAGTCACCAAAGCATGATAGAAGCCATCCTCCACAGGTCCTCCCAAAAAAGCATCACTCACACTAACAATGACACCCAAAATGTATCAGTGAGTGAGTGAGTTGGGTTTAACGCCGCTTTTAACAGTATTACAGTTATATCGCGGCGTATCAGTTTAATGTGGGAGGAAGCCCAAAGTGATGCAGGTCTTAGACGTTTACCACTTCGCTGAAACCCACGAGTACGGGTATGGTGTTGACAAACCTAGAAACATAATCGGGGCGAACCGGGATTCGAACCCACAATCAAAGGTTTCTGGCGTGCCTAAGGGACGCAACTCTGCACAGCGAATCGTGGCGCCTTAGACGACTGAGCAGCCCGTGCCCCCCCAAAATGTATCAGCATGTATCCGAATTTCTTTCAGTTTTGTGGACAAACATTGTCTCAAACTCTGCAAACACCAATGGACATGCCCTGCTCCACAACTCGAACAATGATTGAAGTGTGCGCAACATTAGACTACAGTATTCCACCGTGGATTCTCAGGCCTCACTCTAATGGAGGCAGGAATCATCAAAATTGCAGATTTCTTCTGGCTTAAATATGTAACGAAATATTTCTAAGACATCACTAATTGATCGATGACTTAAAGAAATATTCTTTTGTCTGAAACATTTATGGTGGTAACAAATACTCCTTTTTGATGTGATGGTTTCAATAAACACCGACCGCTTACACTTTTTTTTAACAAGAGTCCAACATTGGACATCCGTGAGAAAGACTGAACACTGCTTCTGAGAGTCAATCTGTCCATACAACGAGGAAACGAGCACCACCCTCATTTTCAGTTTAAGTCCAACTTGTCATGAAAACATAATTTTTTTTTTTAAAATCCAAAATCATCAAAAGGCATCAGTGCACCACGAGACTGATCCGAAAAGCAAGGGTGTTGCTCCAGATAACAGACGGACATCGGACATGCTGATCGCTATAAATCGCTATAAAATCTACTTAAGAAGAAATTGGTTGAATTAACATACAACAAATAAATATTGCACAAGGAGACCCATTCGGACAGCGGTTATTGTTAATACATTCAAAAGCATCCTCTGATAATATATATGTTTACTGACGACGCGTTCTAGTTCTTCTTATGAAATGTACTTAATCCTATATACACAAGCATATAAGAAGACGTGTACGCACATTTATGTGAAAAGAAATCACTCATTTGTCAAAACATGTTTATGTTTTAATGTTTTTATCTGGAAAGCCTTGAAGGGCTTCAACTGATCTGGGATATCATTTACACATGGCCCTTGGTACAGCCCGAATCGTAAAGGTGGGAGCTGCATTGGTAATGCCAAGTATTCCTTTCAAAGGTGTTAACGGTCCATCGTCTGGGAGGAACTGGAACTTCTGTATCATGGCCACCAAGAACAGGAACAACTCCATACGGGCCAAGGACTCTCCAGGACACACTCTGCGACCTGAAGATAAATGAGTTAGTGAGATAGCGCAAATCAATCTGAAGTAGTGTCATTGTTGCCTGTCTCAAAGTTATCATATACGAGTGAGTTGCCAGTTCATGATGAGATAAGCTTTACCTTTGATATTTGTCGACCGTTAATGTGAAGAAATGTTACAGCATGGTTTGTGTGAAATGTAACTGCATAATTACCCATAGAGAAGGGGATGAACTCATCTCTCTTCAGGTACTTCCCTTGGTCATCTAGAAATCGCTCGGGTCTGAAGTTTTGTGGATCACCCCACACAGTTGGATCATGCAGTACCGAGTCCAAATTTGGTAGGACAGTCACGCCCTTGGGGAACGTGTAGCCCCGAAACTGGACGTTGTGGAGTACACCGTGAGGAACTGCAAGTGGGGCTATGGTTGAGCATCTATGGACCTCGCTGATGGTGGCTTCGACGTAGGGAAGATTGGTCTTGTCCTTCATACTAGGTTTTCTACTTTCGCCGATGTGTTCTTGTATCTCCCTGAAACACTTCTCCTGTACTTCCGGGTTGTGCAGGAAGTAAAGAAGAGTCCAACGGATTGTGGTCGCTGTTGTCTCAGTTCCAGCTATGAATAAATCTCTCACCGTTTTCACCAGGTGACCTCCTAACAGAACAAAAAAAACATGACAATCAGCAGAAAGGCAGCATACAGTGGATACTCAGTCGATTTTTTTGGGGCCAGACATAACTGGAATAGTCAATTGATGCACGAGAGAACGGCAAAACGATCATCAGCATAGAAACAGGTTTACTCCTTTCAGAAATATATTTTCTCTACAAGAAATATGATTGCGTAAGCACATTGTTTCTGCTTAACATTGATATTGTATTTTAATTCAAGATGAGGTGAAATGGGGTTTAACGTCGCGTTCAAAATGTTTGCATTTACACGTGTTTTTTTGCCCACTGAGATACCACCTCTAACGTCTTTTGGTATGACGCGGCCGGGAATCGAACCCACGACCTTCCGCTCTCCGGGCAGACGCTCTATCCACGGAGGCGGTCCTATTTCCATTCAAAACATGCAATTATTTTCTATGAAAAGAGGGGATGAGCCTAACTGGAGTAATTTAGGCTTAACCTCAAATGTAAATATAATTCCATATAATCATGGAGTATGGTGTTATTAAGATAGTTCTTTGTCAACTTACTATCAAACGTCTCGTCGCTCCCACGGAGTTTCATTTCCTTGATGTAAGCTGTGATGAAATCGTCCACATTGTCTTCGTCGTAATTATTGAAATGTTCCTCAACATCTTTTTCAATTTCACCCTTTTCTACTGTAGCAATATTTTGCATAAGTTTTTTAAATTTGAAAAAGTCTCCTGGGATAAATCTCACAATTGGAAACATGTTCAGGATGTTTGCTGCCCCGAGTGTCGCCAAGATTATATCTGTAGATTTTAAGAACTTTACAAACCTCGGATCAGTATATTCGAATTGCCTCCCCAAACAAACAGCGCATATGATATTGGCCACGGCGTTGTGCACGAGTCGTTTACAGTCAAAGGCAAGTCCATCCTTGTCCTCAATTGCTTTCAAGAAGACCGTCAACTCGTCGTGTATTTTGGCCTCCAGCGGGGACCTCCCCATCCCAAAATCTCTGAGTGTTGTTAAAGCAAATTTTCTTTGTTCTTTCCAGTGGGCACCTGAGGTCCCCGTTACCCCTGAAATGGTGAAAGTAAGGTGAGGTGAAATGTCGCGCTGAAGATTATTTCACTCATATTGTCACTTGTATGCACGTGTGTAATTTGGCTGCTTGTACTCGTCCGGACTTTTGCCGATTTTATAGTACTAGCCTACTGACATACCATGCCGCAGTTTAACATGGATACACCATTCAGAAACATTATACTGACAACGAGCTGGCCTCTCCGTTGTTAACCTCCTATTCCAAGCGCAATGAGAAAAAGATCACAAAATACCATTTCACATACCTTTGCCTCGTGCAAAAAACTCCGTAAGAAACGATTTTGGTCTTTCTGAGAAAACGTCACCATTCTTGACAAGGGCCTCTTTGATGGCGCTGTACCCGCTCAGGACAATAACTGGCTCATTGAAGATGTACACGCTGAAGATGTCGCCGTATTGACGTCGCAGTTTGCTGAAAGTCACTCGGGGATCGGCATCCATTTGAAAAATGTTGCCCACCAGTGGCAGAAGAGGGGGCCCGGGGGGAAGACCGGGGAGACGCCGCGTTGACAGCCACAGAATTAGTAATACAGTGATACACACCAGTATCAGAGATGTATTAAACATCAACAGTCCCGCCAATAGAGTTATGGCTGCCAAAGTTGCAGCAGAGCCGGAGCTGACCATACTTGCAACCGTACGTGTGTAGTGTCTACGGTAAACTGACTTGTTTTTATCGCTCGCTACACGTTCCCCGGCACGAGGCGAGGTTAGGAGGTGGAGAGTTGTTTTGGTGTAAACTAGGTCATTGTGGCGTTGTTGTTCTCCTTGGGCCCTGTTCAGGGTGACACCGATAAGTGCCAGTACACGTGGGCCCAGGGAAGAATTGGGTTACATAGACTGGCGGCACGTGTTGGACGACACGAGACATGAAACTGGTATTGTTTATGGACTCAATGAATCAATCAATCTTTATTCAAGAAATAAAGAGGCCAATCGTCTATATTGATGTGAGGTGAAATGGAGTTTACCGTCGCGTCCAAGATTATTGCACTTATATTGTGACTTGCATGCACATCAGTAACATGTGTGCCAGTTTCCTCAGAATGTATTACTGAAACACAAAGAGAAGTAAATAATGTGCTTAAAGTAGGTTCTCTGATAAGTTGTTTCGTTAGGAAGTTGTATGGATGTCAAGTGATTTGTTTTTCACCAAAACTATTTTAAACTGAACTGATCGCAGAAGATCCGTATAACAGCAGTGTGCTGTATCTGAGATAGGTAGTGTTTTCATTCTAACTGGCTAACTGAAAAAAAGAAGAGTGTTTATCCGTAGTTTCTATTGTGCCCAATGCCAATATTATCTACCATGCCAAATTCACTATTGACAACTGAGACATATAGGGAAACTCTAAAAGGTAGTATTTCTTGCGCTCGGAATAAACAGCGGCATGGTATCTCAGTGGGCAAGTACAATAAAATCGGCAAAAGTCCGGACAAGTACAAGCGGCCAAATTGTACTTCAGGTCTTCAGCAACCCATTCTTGACGTAAAAGGTGACTATGCTTGTCATAAGAGGCGAATAACGGGATCGGGTGGTCAGGCTCGCAGTCTTGGTTGATGCATGTCGTCGTATCCCAATTGCGTGGATCGATGCTCAAAACGTCAATCACTGGAGTGTCTGGTCCAGACTCGATTATTTACAGAGCGCCGTCACATAGCTGGACCTCCTGATTGCGACGTTAAACAACAAACAAACCATACCATCATGCCTTAACTTGCAACTAACCCTTACGTGATAAATATTGGGACAGGCAAAGTATTATACATCAATAGTTTGATTTCCGCAAACTCACTCATTCATTTTCAGGTCACAGAGTGTGTCTGAGAGTCTTTGACAATGGACCGTTGACTTCCTTGAAGGGAAAATTTGGCCTTACTAATGCAGCTCCTACCTTTTCGTGAATAATGTGAATTCATGTGAATAATTTTCATCCAAGTTCAGTTCATTTTCAAGGATTCACAGAAAAAACGTTAATACATAAACATTTTTTGACAAATGATTTCTTTCCGTATACACGTGGGTTCACGTCTTGCATTTTTTCATGCTATATATAGGCATAAAATAATTTGGTAAGAAGAACGAGATAGCGTCTCCTTTAGTGGGTGAGTGAGTGAGTGAGTTTGGTTTTACGCCGCTTTTAGCAATTCCAGCAATATCACTGCGGGGGACACCAGAAATGGGCTTCACACATTGTTCCCATGTCGGGATTCGAACGCTTTAACCACTAGGCTACCCGACCGCCCCTGTCTCCTTTAGACACGTATATTAGACTATATTGATTTTAGTGACAATGATTTGTTGGAAGACCATTTGTATAACCTAACGTCAATTTAGCTTGAACAGAAAAGTACAACATTGAATAAATAGTTTATTCTGAGTTACATATAGCATATAAGGGACTGGTGTATAACTTGATTAAAGATACAGAACTAAAGGAATGAATTTAATTGACAGTTATCAGCTGGCAAAATATTAGCCTCGATATGTTTTGATTCAGATGTGTCAAACATATGTCACATGAAGTGGTGTTGATTCTTTGTTTGTTTCGTTGTTTGTTTAACGCTGCAGTCAGTAATGCTCTATATCACGCCCTGTAAAGACAAGTCTGGTTCAGTGAGTGAGTGAGTGAGTGAGTATGGTTTTACGCCGTCTTTAGCAATATTCCAGCAATATCACGACGGGGGACACCAGAAATGGGCTTCACATATTGTATCCATGTCGGGAATCGAACCCGGGTCTTCGGCGTGACGAGCGAACGCTTTAACCACTAGGCTACCCGACCGCAGTTGCAAGTATTTGATGTATAAGCAAGTCGTGGAACGTTACTCATGGAACTTTTTATGGTTATATGGAGATTACAGGCGAGGTGAGGTGAAATGGGGTTTAACGTCGCGTCCAAGAGTATTGCACTTATATCGCGACGTGCATGCACGTGTGTGTGTGTGTGGCTCTTGCACTAGACCGTCTGATGCCGATTTATAGTGCTAGCCCACTGAGATACCATGCCGAAGTTTAACATGAATACCCCACTCTGACACAGTATACTGACTCCGAGCCGACCAGTCCTTGTTTTAGCCCCTTAATGCCGAGCGCCAGACAGGGTAACAACAAGTACCATCTTTTAACGTCTTTGGTATGACGCGGCCGGGGATCGAACCCGGACCTTCCGCTCTCCGGGCAGACGCTCTACCACTAGACCACGGAGGCGGTCGACATGGAGATTACAAGACCAATGAGTAGTTATTTTGCCCTTGGTATTGCCTTCATGTTGAACTGCTGCGGGCGGTAGACGATGCCGGGCAGTCCCTGTAGAGATGGGCTCACCCCGTCTACAGGCCGGAATTCGAACTCCTGTATCATGCTGGTGGTAAAGAGGAAGAGTTCCATTCGTGCCAAGGCCTCGCCAAGGCATGCTCGGTGACCTGAAAATAACACAGAGAGAACATTAAGCTGGGGTCTGGATAATTAGGAAATATTATATACAGAAAAACTATAAACAGGCCATTATACTGACAAAAACAGGTATCGTATGTGCCGATACTTATACCGACAGATGAAGAGCTGTATAAACAGATCCTAATACTGACAGAGACAGGGATCGTATAAACAGATCCTTACGCCGACAGAGACAGGGATCATATAATAAATACAGATGCTTATGCCGACAGAGACAGGGATCATATAATAAATACAGATGCTTATGCCGACAGAGACAGGGATCATATAATAAATACAGATCATTACGCCGACAGAGACAGGGATCGGATACAGAGATCCTTATGCCGACAGAGACAGGGATCATATAATAAATACAGATCATTACGCCGACAGAGACAGGGATCGGATACAGAGATCCTTATGCCGACAGAGACAGGGATCATATAATAAATACAGATCATTACGCCGACAGAGACAGGGATCGGATACACAGATCCTTATGCCGACATAGACAGGGATCATATAATAAATACAGATCCTTATGCCGACAGAGACAGGGATCGGATACACAGATCCTTATGCCGACAGAGACAGGGATCATATAATAAATACAGATCATTACGCCGACAGAGATAGGGATCGGATACACAGATCCTTATGCCGACAGAGACAGGGATCATATAATAAATACAGATCATAATACCGAAAGAGACAGGGATCGTATATACAGATCATTATGCTGACAGAGACAGGAATGGTATAGACACGTCCTTATACCGACAGAGACACATCGTATTCTCGAATACGTTTACCGACAGAGAAGGGATCGTGAATTCAGTCCCCTATTAAAAACAGTAATATATCATGTGATCTTTCAGCCTTATTTCATGCCAGATCTGAAACCTGAGTTGGGTTGCGTGTGTAAATGCTTACCGAGGGAGAACGGAATATGCTCATTCATCTTCTGAAACTTCCCTTCAGTGTCCAGAAATCTGTCTGGCCGGAAGTTCCTAGGATCGCCCCAGTAATCCGGGTCATGTAGGGCAGAGCTCAACATAGGTAATACGGTGATTCCTTCAGGGAAGGTGTATCCCCGGAACTCTACGTCATGGGGTACAGAGTGAGGCAGACTGCTTGGTATGATGTCGGCACACCTCAGTATCTCGGTAACCGTTGCCTCGACGTACGGTAAGCTGGTCTTGTCCTTCATGGAGGGTCGTCTGCTTTGCCCGACGTTTTCTAGGATCTCCTGGAAACACTTTTCTTGTACATCCGGATAATTGAGGAAATACACCAGACCCCATCGGAGGACAGTAGCTGTGGTTTCAGAGCCGACAATGAACAGGTCTCTAAGGCACGTCTCTAGATTCCCATCTACAACATATAATCAAAGAAAATAGGAATTCTACAAATACATGTAAAACCAGTCGCCAGTCAGTGTTTCTTTAACCACTGCATTCTCTCCTTAAAGTCGCTTTGAATGTGTTGAGGGTATTTTAATTATCTTGACTATTTTGAGTGGTCGGTTATTAAATTGTTCAAGCTAAGTAAATAGACATTCACCTGCTGGCCACTTGACTAGCAAGGATGGATTCAGATTACTTGGATCGAGAAAGGCAAATATAAATTGCCGAGATCATATTGGTTACATTCACGGGCTGTGAAGTCATGAACACCGTCGATGGTTTCGGGTGACGTGTCCTCTTACGGTATAAACTCGCGCAGTTTCTCAGACAAAAGACGCCATTAAGACCACTGTTTGTTTGAGAAAAAACATAAATATTTTGTTTGTTTGTTAATTTATTTATTTGTTAAACGCCGCACTCAGCAATATTCCAGCTATATGACAGTGGTCTGTAAATAATCGAGTCTGAACTACACAATCCAGTGATTGATATCATGAGCATCGATCCACACAATTGGGATACGATGACATGCATTAACCAAGTCAGCGAGCCTGACCACCCGATCCCGTTATTCGCCACTTACGACAAGCATAGTCGCCTTTTACAGCTAGCATTGGATCCTGAAGACCTATTCTACACGGATCTCCACGGGTCCATAACTCTTCGGAAACTCTGGATTACGGATGGTTAGTTCCCCCTCAATTCAAACCGGCGATACTCAAATTAACAACATTTTGTTACTGTTGCATTGATGTTCTCTGCATTTTCTAGTATGTTCGATGATTTATGAAACCTCACCACTCATATTCGTGTCTTGACCTTCCTGACGGCGCCGTTGTATGGCCTTGATATAAGCAGAGGTGAAGTTGGTGACGTTACTGTCATCGTAGTTGTTCCTGTTGTCTTCAATAAACGGACGAATTATTTCTTTATCAATCATAGATATATTTCGAAGAGTTTGCTTAAATTTGAATAAGTCCCCCGGTAAATAGCGAACAATGGGCAAAACGTTGAGGACATTGGCTGTGCCAATGTTTCTGATGTTCTCGTCCAGGCATTTCATAAACTTGACAAACAAAGGATCGGTGTATTCAAACCGTTTTCCGGAAACCACAGAACTGATGATGTTCGCTACAGCGTTGTTGAGAACGCGGTTACAATTGAAGTCCGTGTGGACACATTCGTGGATGGCCTGAAGAAAGAACGATAACTCTTCCTGTATTGCATCCTCGAGAATGGTTTTGCTCATTCCGAATTATGTAAGAGTGGTAATACTAAACTTTCTATGTTCCCGCCAGGCGGCGCCCGTTGAAAACACAAGACCTACAGCAAAACAGAAGAAAAATGTATCATATAAATGTGTCATAAAAGTGTATCATATACATGTATCACACACTTGAATCACGCACGCACGCATGCACGCACAAAAATTGATAAGAACATGAAGGAAATTTTACAAACTGACATAATACATGTTCACTGCATTACAGAATTACTCTTTGAATACCCGCACTACTTAGAAATGTATCTCGTCGCACACAAACGTCTCACATTAGAGCAAATGTAGAAACTTGTAGGAAATGTAGGAAAACACGGGTTAAGCATCGATTCAAGGCGTGGGGGAACGTATGTCATTTATAGCTTCATATAAGATAGTTACGCGATAAATCGCAAAGTACAATGAAGAACGAAGCGTGGTTTATTTTACGATAAAACGTTGTTCTATCATGACGTCATTTCTTGAGATTCTAGCATCGCAACGCGATGACGTCGTAGACTGAACGTCGTCGTCATCTTTGAGGGAGAAGTGTCTTGTGAGTTGTGCCCCAATAAATGTAGCTTGGCAACACAGAAAAACGCCACGGCCGAACGACCGCATCCGAAAGTGGGCGAGATATGGCAATCGGAAATGGTTTTGGTTTTGGTTTGGTTTGTTGTTTAACGCCGCACTCAGCAATAGTCCAGCTATATGACGGCGGTCTGTAAATAATCGAGTCTGGGCCAGACAATCCAGTGAATGATATCATGAGCATCGATCCACGCACTTGGGATTGATGACATGCTTCAACGAAGTCAGCGAGTCTGACCACCCGATCCCGCAATCGGAATTGGGAGACAATTATATATAATAGCCGTGAACATTGAAAATATCCGGGAACTACCAAACTTAGCCCCCTGTTCTTAAAATGGACATTGCCGAGGTCGGATTGTATCCATGGAGTCATCACTATTTAAATACAGGTAAATATTTTTAAAGCATGTACCTTTTACTAACATCCTTAAAGAGACTGTATGCCTACATTATGTGGATATCTCATATCAGAAATAAGGACGAGTGTGAGTTGTTTATCGTACAGTAAAACACTGCAGGAAGAATACACCAATGTACCAGGATCTTTGAATCACATTGTCTGTGGGTTTCAGAATGGCGGTAGGCATCAACGACATGCAGCACTTTCCTCCCAGATTCCAGGTGCCGTGATTATGTTAATTGTAATATTTTACCAAGAATTATTCTTGATTTTAACGTTTGGGTGGCGTTTGTACATGTGTTTTAATGTATCATGCTCCGCTGACTTTTATCTTTTTTATGTACAAATGTACCGTAATTGTTAAACTATGTTATTTCACTAACATTTCGAAAACAAACCTTGAATTAATCTTATCCCATTACTAAGAATTTGAATAAATACGCTGCTATCAATCTTAATCTCAAGTTGTCTCTACCCAAACACCCCTATTATCATTGATAGTCTCTCCCAAACAGAGTGAGTATGGTTTTACGCCGCTTTTAGCAATATTACAGCAATATCACGGCGGGGGACACCAGAAATGGGCTTCACACATTGTACCCATGTCGGGTATCGAACCCGGGTCTTCGGCGTGACGAGCGAACGTTTTAACCACTAGGCTACCCGACCGCCCCACTCCAAAACAGATTATACGGGTTTGTGACTACACGGATTACATTGAGCCATGGAGAAACCATTCATGCATGGTAAGACAACCCAGACAAAGTGAATTAGACGTTGTAATCATGGTGAGTCAAAAATAAACTACTTTGATTGATGGATTGATGAATTGATTGATTGTTAAAGCGGCGTTAAAGAAATCGCTGTTATTCACCCACTTATTGTGTCGATTAATATTAGTTTTGATCCAGTCGGTTGTAAGAGACGTACACGTATACAATATGCATGTAAGTATGTGTCTATACAGATATATTTACCTTTTCCTTTTGAAAAATGATCAGTTAAAAATGACGGCGGTCTGTGCGAGAAGACATCGGCGTTCTTGACTAGGGCATCTTTGATGACGCTGTAGCCGTTGATGACGATAACGGGTTGGTTAAAGATGTACACACTGAAGATGTCGCCGTATTGACGTCGCAGTTTGCTGAATGTTACCCTGATGTCTGCATCCATGGAGAATTGCCATGCTTGAAGTCTCCACGGTGTGGCCGTCACGGTCGTGTCTGAAAGGATATCTAAATTACTTGCGCTATACACACACTACAATAGAACGACCGCCGTCATATAGCTGGAATATTGCTGAGTGCGGCGTTAAACAACAAACCAAACCCCAAAAAAATACAATAGAACGCTCGTACTTGCATCATAGCTTACATCATTGTAGGTGTGCAGTGAAGCGGAAATACCAATGTTGTGAAAACGATATCTCGGTTTCACAAACCTTGTTGTATACTCACGTACAAGGGCTGTCAGTTTGTCAAGTCAGTATATGAGTCAATACTGCATTGAGCTAGGAACTCTACCTGGTTTACTTACAACGATGGCTGACAACACACTTGAATTCTTGGCAATCTCCCGCGGTCATCCAAGGGACGACCAACTCGAACCTTTCCGAAGACCTCCGGAAACCTACGATCACTACACCAACTTAATGACACCGTGCACCTACCTTTTGAACCCTGGCTCACACTGTATTCACTACATCACTGAGGCGGTTGTGATGGCCGAACATACGATATGGCAGTGACGTCAAGGCATGTCTTCAATACATTGGTGGCATATTTGTGAAGAGAAATGTACACTGGCAAATGGCACATGACACTGCAAACTGAATACTCAGTGATAAACACGAAAGCCCAGCAGATAAGGGTACACTGACTATTCAACTCTTATATGAGGCGCATGTGGCATTCCAGAGCTTGGCGATGCTCACAACAAAGCACCTCATTAAAACACACCATAGTCCAGTCTACCTCTCGAGAACACCCGGACTCTTATATAATGAAGCTCTGACCTCTTGAGGGGCAAGTGCACATGCAAGTTCAACATTGGAGGTCTGACATCGACTCCTCACCTGAGGTGAATCAGTGAGTTATTATTTAACGTCACATCGCCAATCTTTCAGCCACATCGTGACGACCACATCTAAACTCCTCATCTGAGGTGAGTCAGTGAGTTATTATGTAACGTCACATCGCCAATCTTTCAGCCACATCGTGATGACCTCATCTTAGGGTAAATTCTATAAGATAATCGATATTATTAAATATGGTTTGTTTTTTTTAACAAAAATTGCCCCATAAAAGTATTTTCACTTTAATACAATACAGACTTTCAAACCAGCGACTACCAGTTGAGCTTGGTCGGTGGCACCAAATATACACAAAGAAAAACGTTCAGCACACCCAAATGTGTTTCATTATTGTTTGGTCCCAATATTTATAACAGTCAGGAAAGATATAATTACGGGAAGTATTTTGTTTTCTCGAGTGGATGTAATCAGTCGTGCGTGACGAAATCTTTCGTGCCATGCATGGTATGCCCGTGCAGCATGCTACCCTCGAATATCTCTAAAAGCAGTATATCCAAACGTTAAAGTTGCTTTCTTAAGCTCGGTTTTAAACAGTTACTCCATGACATTGTGTGACCATGGCACGAAGGCGATTATCAAACGCCACAAGATAGCAAATATTCGGCATGCATAACGCAGGCATGTCTTGTAATGCCATCGATCGGAATTTGGGGTATTATCACACTGCCGTAAGCCGTTTGGTCGAGAAACATCTTCAGACCGGTAATGTGACAGAACTTTGCCCGACAGAACTGGAATCTGTGAACTTGGAGACGGACCCATTGGTCAGACGAAAGTCGCTTTCTGCTCCACGTTACTGATGGAAGAACGAGGGTTTGGAGGCACCGGAACCCGGCCTACACCCCCAGGAACATTAAACCGACTGTTACATACGGCGGGGGCTCGGTAATGGTTTGGGGGTGTATCTCTCATCATTGCAGGTTGGATTTGGTCACCATAAGGGGAAACTTAACTGGGTCTCAGTACATCCGGGACGTTTTGAGGCCACTTGTCGTTCCTCATTTTGACAACCACACCCTTGCTACTAGACCTCAGTACATGGATAACAATGCCAGGCCTCATCGTTCTCATGCAGTCGTGGTTTAAACGAGAGCCAACGCAATAACGACTCTACCTTGGCCAGCAATGAGCCCAGATTTGAACCCCCTTGAACATGTTTGGGATATTCTGGGGCAGCGCATACAGGCACGAGACCCCCCTGTACAAGATTTACGCCAATTGGAAGCAGCATGGCATCAGGAGTGGTTGTTGACCCATCAACAGATCCAACGTCTGACTGGAGGCATGAGACGTAGGGTGGAATGCGTCATCCGGGCACTTTGCCGTTATACCCCTACTGATCTGTTTCACGTGTCATGTCAAGTAGAGAGTTTAAGGAACATTTTTACATGAAACATCAAACGTAACTCGTTTACGTAATCATGCAGCTCCATACTTTTTAAGGTATTGTCTAAAGTCAAAAACAGTACCTGTGTAACCATGATGTTTTTGTCAGTAAATTTCAATCACCACTCACCAATATCTTCTTTATTTGTTGTCAAATGTTTGTTCTATCAGATGACATTGGTATCGCCCAGATCCAGTGATCAGTCATCCCGTGCCATGATTTTTGCCATTGTCACGGTTCAGAAATAGGGGTGTGCTTAACTTTTTTCTTTGTGTATACGTCTGTTATAGAGAAAATGTTTCTTTTGCTAATATAATGCTATTAGAGACGAGTATCACTATTTATTTGTTTATGAATACTTTGGAGATGTAAAAATGAAACTATTGCCATTATAATGCTTAAGAGGCCTTCTATGTTCAATATGATAAATTTATTTAAGCAAAAATGCCATTATATTAAGGAAACTTTCTAGATTTTTCTGCCAAATAAGTGAGTGAATAAATTTCTGTCCTGTCACAGAGGTTTGGTGATCCAACATGAACAGAAGGCAAACATATATGTGGGGCAGCAAATATGACACGAGGTTGAGTGTCAATTCATGTTTTATTCCATCTCAACGTAGACAATAAGGAAAACCTACAACATACAAATATCACAAGCTCATTAGGTTACAATCACTGAGCAACAGAAGGAAAATATATTTCTATGTTAAGTTACAACAGCACACTATACACCCACACTTGACGTTTGACATTGTATAAAAGCACAAGTTCATGTATTGTATTTGATTGTATTTGAACATAAATGAGTGAGTATGGTTTTATCCCGCTTTTAGCAATATTCCAGCAATATCACGGTTGGGGACACCAGAAATGGGCTTCGCACATTGTACCCATGTCGGGAATCGAACGTCTAATTCACTTTGTCTGGGTTGTCTTACCTATGCATGAATGGTTTCTCCATGGCTCAGTGTAATCCGTGTAGTCACAAACCCGTATAATCTGTTTTGGAGTGGGGCGGACGGGTAGCCTAGTGGTTAAAACGTTCGCTCGTCACGCTGAAGACCCGGGTTCGATACCCGACATGGGTACAATGTGTGAAGCCCATTTCTGGTGTCCCCCGCCGTGATATTGCTGTAATATTGCTAAAAGCGGCGTAAAACCATACTCACTCTGTTTGGGAGAGACTATCAATGATAATAGGGGTGTTTGGGTAGAGACAACTTGAGATTAAGATTGATAGCAGCGTATTTATTCAAATTCTTAGTAATGGGATAAGATTAATTCAAGGTTTGTTTTCGAAATGTTAGTGAAATAACATAGTTTAACAATTACGGTACATTTGTACATAAAAAAGATAAAAGTCAGCGGAGCATGATACATTAAAACACATGTACAAACGCCACCCAAACGTTAAAATCAAGAATAATTCTTGGTAAAATATTACAATTAACATAATCACGGCACCTGGAATCTGGGAGGAAAGTGCTGCATGTCGTTGATACCTAACGCCATTCTGAAACCCACAGACAAGGTGATTCAAAGATCCTGGTACATTGGTGTATTCTTCCTGCAGTGTTTTACTGTACGATAAACAACTCCCACTCGTCCTTATTTCTGATATGAGATATCCACATAATGTAGGCATACAGTCTCTTTAAGGATGTTAGTAAAAGGTACATGCTTTAAAAATATTTACCTGTATTTAAATAGTGATGACTCCATGGATACAATCCGACCTCGGCAATGTCCATTTTAAGAACAGGGGGCTAAGTTTGGTAGTTCCCGGATATTTTCAATGTTCACGGCTATTATATATAATTGTCTCCCAATTCCGATTGCGGGATCGGGTGGTCAGACTCGCTGACTTCGTTGAAGCATGTCATCAATCCCAAGTGCGTGGATCGATGCTCATGATATCATTCACTGGATTGTCTGGTCCAGACTCGATTATTTACAGACCGCCGTCATATAGCTGGACTATTGCTGAGTGCGGCGTTAAACAACAAACCAAACCAAAACCAAAACCATTTCCGATTGCCATATCTCGCCCACTTTCGGATGCGGTCGTTCGGCCGTGGCGTTTTTCTGTGTTGCCAAGCTACATTTATTGGGGCACAACTCACAAGACACTTCTCCCTCAAAGATGACGACGACGTTCAGTCTACGACGTCATCGCGTTGCGATGCTAGAATCTCAAGAAATGACGTCATGATAGAACAACGTTTTATCGTAAAATAAACCAGCTTCGTTCTTCATTGTACTTTGCGATTTATCGCGTAACTATCTTATATGAAGCTATAAATGACATACGTTCCCCCACGCCTTGAATCGATGCTTAACCCGTGTTTTCCTACATTTCCTACAAGTTTCTACATTTGCTCTAATGTGAGACGTTTGTGTGCGACGAGATACATTTCTAAGTAGTGCGGGTATTCAAAGAGTAATTCTGTAATGCAGTGAACATGTATTATGTCAGTTTGTAAAATTTCCTTCATGTTCTTATCAATTTTTGTGCGTGCATGCGTGCGTGCGTGATTCAAGTGTGTGATACATGTATATGATACACTTTTATGACACATTTATATGATACATTTTTCTTCTGTTTTGCTGTAGGTCTTGTGTTTTCAACGGGCGCCACCTGGCGGGAACATAGAAAGTTTAGTATTACCACTCTCAGAGAATTCGGAATGAGCAAAACCATTCTCGAGGATGCA